CGTTCCCCCTTAAGTCCATTAGGTTTCCCTAACCCAAAACTTAACTATCACACATTTGACAGTTTATACCCCTTTATTTATTTAATCTTTTTTAGTCACCAAATTAATTCCTAATTAATTTATGACCAATACTAATTAAATAAATATGATTTCTCCTTTAATATATTATTCTTATAATATATTAATAAACCAAAATATTCTCTCTCTCTCCTTAAATTACCTTATCAAGTTGCTTTGGAGAAGGCAACCCAAAAGGACCATGCACAACCGGGTCAAGTACATACCAAATATAGTTACGGGCTTAGACACTAATCCAACAGTCTCCCATTTGGATAAGTCTAGTAACTATATCTCACATATGACTTCAGAATCCGATTAGCAATCGTAGCTCTTAGAAACCGCTGTCAGTTCTGATCTTATCAGATAGCGTGTCCTTTAGACAAGGGATCATATATTCCTCCATTCTAGATATCGTATAGACTGAGACACAGATTTAAATCATTCTCCTTGTCTATGAGTTGTTTCCCGGTATTCAATTTATGACGACTGACAACAGACTATAACTGAACACATCAACTTAGTCCCGGCTTGGCCAAGCGCTTAGGGTGTCATCACTAAATCATCGAGAGGCCCACAGATATCGCTCTTATCCACATTGGATAAAATGAATAGATAAACTTCGACTCAAGTGCTCGCTTGCACTTACTTATCGAATCACTCATAATAATAAGTTTTATAACACCAAGTTACTGGTGCGTTTACATATTATCAATGTGCAACCGATCAGCAAGTAACAACTCACACGTCTTGGTTTCAAGAATATTAGATATTATCGTCTCATAATCACTCGTGATTAAAACTCCACAATCTAAGCCTTTAGATTTGAAATGAAGTATAATATTCTCTCCCTTAATTATAGCAAAATAACCTTTCAACCCTTACAACTTTGCAAAGTGAATCTTTGTTTTCTATAATTAATATTGCTAATTTGTAATACTTGAATTAAATAATCATGCTCCCACTAACACGATGATTATTACTGTACAAGCATAACACTTATGCTCCCACTAGCTTTGACATGTATTCAGAAAACAACTGAACTTCCAGAAAACAATGCTTATTGAATTCCTTAAGTTCATATTTCTAATACCTGATGTTTTGATAAGTCTTTATCTAAGCTTCTTAAACTCATACACCTTTGCCTTAGAAGGTCCACATGTGTCTAAAGAAATTCAGAACTTATGTTACTAAGTCCCAAATGTTCAGACCAATTGCCAAATCTCACAATTCGAATTATGAAAAGGGATGCCGTAATCATAATCGAATTTGAGAGTACAATTTTCATAATTGCAATCTTCCTAAAATCTCTCTTAGTGAAAGCATTTCTTCACAATCATTTTCATGAAAGAGAGAAACCTTATTACACTTAGATTTTAAAAGTGTATGTGTTTCTATCCATATGAATTTGTCATAACAACAATCATAAGACAATGGTTGTGACAAATTCAACTCATATGGATTGAACTTGTTCAATCTTGATTTCTCGCCTCATGGTAGCACGAATGCCCACCATGTCTTCCAAGTTGTTAAGCAGCCCACCCTTACCTCATCAATGTACTTTTCCATTGATTAGGGTGCCTTGCCTTTATGCAATCCAATTGAGAACTCATAGAACTCATATTGCATAATTGACTTAACCTGGAACGGCACAGAAACATATTTTATGTTAACACGATAGGTCATCAACCTCAAGTCGTGTGATAGTGATTAACTATCGGTTTGTTCTTGATCAGCTCTTGAACTTTTCTCTAGACAACTGAGACTCCCACTGACTTCTTGACATATATGATTCTCTTGTCAATGAACTTTCCTTGACAAAAAAAATATTCAAGGGTTAGTGCGAAATCCTATCAAGACTAACACTTTACTCAATAGGTTCTTGTTGTTCTTTGTCTTTTACAAGACATCACAACTTACCCATTTCAAATGTGCAGGAATAAGAAACTTTCCTTATTTCACATTTGATAAGTGTTACAAACCTACACACAATATGGTACCAGTTGGTCTTTGTCTTTATTCAAGACATCACAACTTACTAAAATGTACAGGTGTAAGAATATTTCTACTAAAGACTATATCACTCAAGTCACAATCTTGGAGTGTAACTCTAAGATTTGATATTGGAACAAAGTATTATTGACTTCTTGATTTAACCATTTTCACAATTCTCGATTCTCCCTCTTAGCCATACAAATGTACTAAGACTTACTTAGAGGATCAATTGAGATATGGTTCTCAATCATTAAGACGATCATAAAACATGATAAAAGCTACTC